CGTGCCAAGTGATGTAGCAAAGTTGGGAATAAATCATCATAGAAATCTGACTAGTACTACACTGCGGTTCACGCAAAGTCATACTTCGCTTCTTACCCACATGCAGCAACAGTAGGACAACTGCCGTGATGAGTTGACTGTGCTGCACAAAATCCTATCCTCCCGACACAGTCAATGAGCATCCTGCCCCTTTACTCTCAGCTCTGATTGGTCTTTTAGTATCTTTCCCTCTTCACAGACTCTCTCCATTGCTACTTCTTTAAAAATACCTTCCTTGTTCTGAGATTGGAAGGTTGCTTGGCTACCCTCATGGCTCGGTTTTTCCCCTCCTCACTTTTCTTCTGTCACTTGTATTAAGCCACTTTCTTCCAAGCCTTTCCAGATGACAATGGTGAGAACCACAGACTTGTCTTCCGCCTTTCCCTTCTGTTCATAGAGCATTTGTTAATCATTTAGAATGAGAACCATGACTGCTATGCTTTCTACAAATCGGCTTAGATTTCCACACTTTTTGCTTGGAATGCATCTTGAAATTTTTATCTAAACAAATTGAAAGATATTTGACTAACAATTATATAACCTAAAAATTTTGAGATGAAGGGTTGTTTTTGTCCTTTTCTGGTTTCTGATAAATATTTCACCATTGGTTTGGGAAAAGAGATTCCTGGCTAATAAATTATGGATCCCCTTTATATTCAATTTTAAAAAACCAACCATGCAGTCAATTAGAGTAAGATCCCATTGTACTGTAAGAAAACAAGGTAATAATAAAAACCATTTTTGAGAGTCTACTATGTGTCAGAGACTATATTCCTAATAAGCACATGCATAACCTTATGACTGTTATTACTGTCTCTGTTACAGTGATGAGCACACTCAGTGTCTGAGAAGTTACATAGACTTTTACTATAATTACACTCCGCTAAGTCTTACTAGTAAATGGCTCTCAGGTTGAGATTCTTAAATCATAAGACTAAAATCTACACTCCTTTTCCCTTTGTGCTGCTTAAGCGTCTCTCTCTCTGCAAAATTCAGGGAAGGCCAACCTTCCTGTCACCTTAGTAACAGGTGCTGCCAGAAATTCTTTGCTAACTCATGTTCCATTTAATCCAAGGGGCAGGCAAAAATAAGAGACTTTTTCTTAGCCATCAGGGTGTTGATTCTGGAGATAAAGGAAATGCTGTTGAGAGCAAAATGTGGCTGAGTGCCTAATACCTTGCCCTTTGAAAGGAAAACGGCAATTATTTGTACTCTAGAAATTCAACGTGTCACAGGGCAGTCATGTGAAAATGAAAATCAAGTTAATTATCTCTTTCTGTGAGAATGTGCTTCTAGACATAATAAACATTAGGGCTTAGAGAAATCAATTTTTTAAACTGCCTACCTCAGAGATTACAGCAAGAGGCAGAAACGTGTATAGAAATTATTTAGAGGTGAAGTTGTATAAATAGAAATAGGTCCCTTTTGCTCATATGGGATGTGTGGACCACTTTCATGGAAGGAAGTTTCCATGATCAATTTGACTCTTCATACTCCTTGTCTACAAGGCACTGAGAGTTGATGAGGATTTAGAGAGTTAAAGTCAATTAAGAGAGGCACAAAAGTGCTGTTTTCCTCGGGAAAACCCTGAACCCCTTAATACCACAGACCTTTTCTTATTTATCTTAACATCGCCAGAGTCCACCACAAAACTTACATAGTTAGTTGGTCAATTTATATTTGTTAAACTGACATAAAGGGAGAAGCAATGAGATGAACATAGTAAATGCTTCCTTCAACATGAAATTATATTTATGGTAGTCTGATATCAAATACACACAATTCTTATAACTTCATATGCATTAGTTATGTTCTGCAACCCTGGAATATGGGGACTATTTTTAGTCCCCATTTTATAGATGACGAAACAGAGGCACTGGAAAGTTTAAGTGATTTCCTCGAAGTTGCATAGTTAGTTATAAATTCAGCTGGGATTTAAATCCAGGGTTCTTTTGTCCCAGAGTCCACATTCTTAACCAGTGGGTGATCATTGTGCCTCATAAAAGTCATGTAAGAGAAGGTGTTCCTCTGGCACTGTACACCTGGTCATGCATGCACTGTCACTTCCCTTATTATACCGTGACCTCTTGCACTATTTTTCAGGAAGGATCTGAGGGCCACTCACCTTTGACTCAGATACAGTAAAACATACTGAGACCTGTTTATAGTTGAATAACTATGTCAAAACACAATCCTCCCCTCATGGGTAAGGAAAACCGTAGTGGCAAACTTCAGAGGTAGCATAGAGGTATGGAAAGTGATCGTATTTGAGTTCTGCTTGCTCAGAAACAAAGACATTCATTCACTCAACTATTTCATGATGAAAATCCCCTAAGAAAGGAAAAGCAGGGGTGGTGCCCAAACTAGGATCGAGACCAAAGCAAGGAAACCTGAACTCTTTGGGTAAAGCCTGAAACTTACAAAAGTAAAGCAGAATTTTCTTAGGATCAGACCTAATGCGGCAACACTTCAAACAGTATATTTGGGGAAGAGCAGCCAGCTCAGAAGTTTCTGCCAAGTGGTAACATATCTGGGGATCTTTTCCTACTTGGGTCTTTCATCTTCTCCTATTAGCGGACTGATTATTAGTTTATCAGATTAGAGAGTTGATATCTGTGAAATGATGTACAGATTGTGAAGGCGTCAGTGGGTGAGTGGAGGAAGGAATGTAAATAGCACAAGAACAATGGCTTTCAGACATCAATGAGCCAGGTGGTAGGAGGTGGCATTAAAGGGCTGAGCCGGCTTCTGGTGATGGGGAACCTGAAGAGACACCTAGCCATTATTTGTACTTCCAAGTACCAATGAAGTCCTTTTCGGTAGTGTACATAGTGGATAAAATAGTTCACTGGGTATAGGAAGGCCTGACTTTTCTACAAATTGCATAATATTGATCAAGTGGCTATGCTTCTTTGGGTCTTTGTTTTCTCGTCTGTAAAATAAGGAGAGAATCGGACTAATTGGTTTCTATGATCCCTTGCAGTTCTAACATGCTGGAGAGTCTACCACAGATATTAGGTCATCAGGGCCAAAGTCCACTTGAATCACTGAGAGAGAGAGAGAGAGAGAGAGAGAGAGAGAGAGAGAGGAGAGAGAGAGAGAGGAGAAAGAATGACTTTGTTAAGAATTTGCAGTGTCTGGGAAGGCTGAAGGCCTAATCCAGCCCTCCCCTTATCCAGTCCTCTTTTTGTCTTTCCCTTACCACTAACCATGATCTTAAGTACTTAAAAACATGATTACATTAAAAATCACTGAAAATCTCAAAGGAGGCATTAAGAAAGGATGTGAGTGCTTATTCTCATTTTAGAAACCCCTTCAACTATTCAAAGCAAAACATTACAGAATCCAAAAATAGTTCTCAACTGTACAGTATTCTGTCATGCTGAGGTTTAGCACTGGGTTGAATATGCAACAAACACAGTGAAAAATTATCTTATAGGTTCTCTAAAGGCCCAAAGTTTTCTAAATTCAAGTCCATGTTCTCTTCTAAGAGAGTGATAAATCTGAGATGAAAACAGGTCACACACAGAAGGGATCTAGAATCATAATCTGTTTATTTACAAACACGTCCTGTTCCTACACCATTTGGTTTGAAAAAAGACAATCAAAGAGTGGAAACAACAGCAGGTCTCAGGCAGAGCTGCCACAGAGATAGCTCAGTTTCCATGTCTGGGCTGTTCTCAGAGCAACATCCACTCTGACTGTCCAGGCCCAGGCTCTTCTGCTTGAAGAACCCGCTTATGGAACTCCACTTCCCCTTTCTCCTCAAGGTGAATTAAATGCATGCTTCTCCCGCCAGGTTAAACATGTGGCCCTCCCAGTTCCAGTGGTTCTTCCTTTCAAGAATATTATTTTGTCTGCTCTAGCTCATTTGGCTCAATGGATAGAGCATCGGCCTGTGGACTGAAGGGTCCCGGGATCAATTCCAATGGGTTGTGGGCTCAATCCCCGATGTGGGGCATGCAGGAGGCAGCCAATCAATGATTCTCTCTCATCATTGATGTTTCTGTCTCTCTCTCCCTCTCCCTTCCTTCTCTGAAATCAATAAAACTGTATTTTTTTTTTTTTTAAAAAAGGGATATTATTTTGCCTGGCTATTCCCACACTGTTGAGAACAATAGATGGCCAGGGCACACCAGACATGCATCATAGGCATGAGAAGTTTATCTTCAGGTACATAATGTCTCTCATTTCTGACACCTCTGTTCTTCCTCATCTAGTGGTCCCCATCTCAGCCCTCTGACCTGCCTCCCAGCTGTTAAAGGCTCCTTGATGAGGTCTCCTCTGCTTCTGCCCCTTCCTTTCTACTGCGGATAGTCTAATCTCTCTGTCCCTGTCACACCCACACCCATTTTTAAAACATACCTATTTATGTCCTAACATCTAATCTATAACAGTGAGTTAATGGGCCCTAATAATGATACTGGCTAGAAAGCATACATAAGATAGTGACTATGAATTGTTCTTGGAATCAGAAAATATATGTTTCAGCTGGCATTTTATAATATAATAACTTTTCGTCTGCTGGGTCTGAACTTTACAGTTTTCCATTGTAAAATAATAATAATTTCAGAGACTTACTGCGTGTTCACTATGCTATTATGCAAAGCATGTTTATGCACTATCACATTGATTTTCACAACTGTCCATGAGGTATGCAACACTATCCACCTCTGGTTTGAAATAAGACTGAGGATAGAGAGAATAAAAGACCTAACTAGATCTAGGGTATCAACATAGATTCTTCTGAATCTAGTACCAAACCTCACCTTACAAGGTTGTTATAGGTGGTGCCTATAAGGGCTCTCTATATGTTATGAAACACTGTGTAAATGTAGGGCATTGTCCTAACAATAGTTTCAAATTAAAGAAGCTAGAAAGTTTATACACTATATTAAATTGGGGAGGGAGAAAATTAGAGGGCACAAATTCAATCTATGGGCTTCCTATTATGGAGAATAAGGATTCAGCATTCCAGGAGGAACAAAATATTGTACAAGAAATAAGTGTAAGCAAAATACACTTCGTGTCTCAGGTAAGAGAGAGGCCTCTTCAGGCAAGGGAGCTCAGGAATAGAGAAAGGTAGAGAAAGAACACATTGAATTTAGTAGTCATGTATTTCTTCTTTCTTTAGTTTTCTAAGTCATTACAAGAATTCTTTCCAGACTATCCAATAGAATGAATAAATGCCTCTTAATGCTATTTTCTGGACTGGCAAAGAAAAATTGTCCTGGACAGTTTAAACAGGAAAGGATGATTTAATTCAAGACTATTGCAATAGGGCCCTAGCCAGTTTGGTTCAGTGGATAGAGTGTCCACCCATGGACTGAAGGGTCTGGGTTTGACTCTGGTCAAGGCACGTACTGGTTGCAGCCACATGCGGGAGGCAACCAACAAATGTGTCTCTCTCACGTCGATGTTTCTCTCTGTCTCTAAGGATCAGCGGAGCCCTAGTGGTTTGGCTCAGTAGATAGAGCATTGGTCTGTGGACTTAAGGTTTCCGGGTTGGATTCCGGTCAAGGGCATGTACCTCAGTTGCAGGCAACCAATAGATGTGTCTCTCTGTCTCTCCCTCTCCCTTCCACTCTCTCTAAAAACCAATGGAAAAATATCCTCAGGTGAGGATTAAAATATATACATATGAGACGGGAAACAAAGGGAGAGAGACCTAATATGTATGTCCCTGATTTTCTGCCTGGAGAAACTTTCTAGATCATACGTAGTATGTGGAAGGGGATTCTAAACAGAGCATGGTCTCACTGAGTTGGGGAAACAGATCAGGGATCAGGAAGGCTGCAGTAGCTGGACTTTGTTGGCCAGTGTATCAGAGAGAAGGACATTGCCCGGATAAAGAGCCCCACACACCGCCTGCCGCTTCAGGCCTCTCAGCTGCAACTTTAAGCAACTATGTAACTAATACCACCGGACTTCAGCCAGCAGGATTGCAACATTTTAAGCAAAGGCCAGAAACTTACTTTCAGCAGCGGAGGCCTAAGACCTGTAGCCAAGCCTCAAAGCTAAAGCTGGCCCAGAATAAAAAAGAAAAAAAGGAGCAGTTGGGAGCTTCAGTCACCCCCAGCCTGAAAACAGCCCTCAGCCC